GCTAGAATAATAGTAACTTACTTTTATATACAGCACACGGCTATGCCACATATCAAAGAGTTATATAAAATGGGCTCAGTAAAAACAATTCTTTTACTGATACAGTAGGAATAAGTTCCAGTGCAATTCACTGACTTTGGGAATAATTGGCTTGGTTTTATATAAAAGTTATTTAATTCAATTTTTTTTTTTAACCTGGTAACAAGAATGCCATCCAGTCGCATGTACTCAGCATTAATTTGGATTTAGCCCTTGCATTTGCACTGAGATTAAGTACTGCTAGTTTTAAATCAACTAGCCTCTGGCACCGAAGGTTAAATTCAGGAAAAATAATGCTGTAAACTACAAATGAGTCTGAAAGAAAAAACCTTTTATAATCTGTTAAATTTCAACACCAGGGATTAAGTATTATGAAGACTATGCATAGGACAAAAGTAAAGACCATAATGTTCCAAGAAATCCACTCCCCCGTGACAACATACTAGGCACAAATTTATCAGAGCAATGCAAAACCCGCACTGTGGTTTTGACATGAAAAATAGAACATTTCAGGCCTTCTTGACCACACTAAGGAAGTCTTAAATATTACTTGAAGATAAAATTTAGAGAAACAAATAGTTTCATTTATTTATACAATTAAAACCTACCCTTTCCATGAGGGCTCAGGACAGTTACATATTACAATGAATACACGTAGTTAATTTATGTTTATGAAATTGCCTATGAGCTATGTGTTGCACAATTATTTTAAAATAGAACAATATGTAAAAATACAGTAACAAAACACAAAAACAAAATAGAAAACCAACACAAAAGTATAATTGCAAATATAGAAATAAAACAGTAAATCATGCTTATCACAAACTATTGCAACCTAAAATGTAAAACGCATCTGCAAGAATTACCAGTCAATGTCATTTGGCCAATAAGAGTGCTCTATTAAATTGGTAGATGTATGAGAAAGAATACACATAGGATGCGCTGTCTACTTCCTTTGAGTGTAACGCTGAAGAAATTCAACATTCAGCCCATATTTTGCATATGGAATAAGCAGGAGGATCATTTTAAGGAAAGGAAAGGAAAGGAAAAGGAACAATTTTATTCAGGTATATAATTACATAATTAGCAGCATAACTAATAGCAAACAAAAAGGAGGATGCTTTTCCCTTGGGTTTTTTTTGTTTTGTTTTGTTTTGGTTGGTTGGTTGGTTAGTTAGCTTTTTAAAAAATATATATTCCATCACAGGATCATTCACACACTCACTCCTCCTTCAGAGTAGCCATTAAAAGATCCTCTCCTAAAATAAACTTTAAGCTACTACTGGTAGAAGCAAAACTTTGAAGCCAACAGTGCTATAGATCCCGAAAGTGTTTTACATGCATGATTTCCTTCTGATAACAGGTACTAGTTATAAGTGTGAAGTAATTTAAATGTGGGCTAGCATGAAAAATTGAAGAAAATTCCCCGTAAATAACAAAAGCTAAACCATTTTACAGAGTTTCTGTTTCAATAAACACATTTAAAACAGTAGCAACTCCTACACAGCATTTCATTTTGCTTTGTCCAATAGCCATGTGCATATGATAGATTTTGAAGTGTGCATGCTGCTTGCTTCTCTGCAAGATCAGATATCAAAGCTACATTTGCCCACATCAGAAAAGCCAGTTCATCCACAGGGCAATGCCCAACAGCTCCGCAGCAGCCTGATGCAGACCACTTCCTCCTTCTTCATATTCCGGATGCCTTACAACCACTCACATTTCCTTTGGGGCTAGGGCATGGCTAACATTTTGCCTCACCACAGAAGCCATGTGTGCCCTTCCTCCCCTCACTTGTGATCACACTACTTCTCAAACTGTGAGGCAGCTAAACAAACTGTACTTTTAGAATAACCACTGATTAATAAGCAAAGGAAGGCAGACGATAAAAGAATAATCTGTCACTGAAGATAGTTTGCCCCAAATATTTTAAAACGCCATAGTATCATACATAGTTCTGTGCTTTGGTATAAATTTAGAAACTGAGAAAAGTTTTCTCTAAACCAGTAACTGATTAATAACTTGTAAAGATGTAGACAGCACCTTAAACATTCTATAAGTTTGTCCCTAAACAGACAGAAATTTTATTTTTAACATTTTAAAAGAAAAATATATCTCAAGCAGGTGAACTGGAAATTAGTATCGTAGCATCACAGAGTTAGACTGAATTCTCCACTTGTAGAATGATATTTATCAAAGAGCTATCACAATTAAATAATAAAGGGACAGTCAATGTAACCTACCTATCTTCCTGAATAAACCAGGTATCCATCTAGGTCAGTGGTTCTTAAACTGTTTGACACAATTAACCCTTTTCCTGATATCAAATAATGTCAATATCCCCACAAAAACAAAACAAAACAAAAAACCAGACTGTTGTTTTACAGAAGCATCTCAGCAGTGGCAGTCCCAAACTGGATCCCCAACTCATAAATGAGCAATTACAAATTGTTCCATTGCCCCCAGGATATCTGCTTGGGGATAATTACCCCCCTGTTTACAGGGCAAAATGGCTACCACTGCTTCCACAATGATTTTGGAGATGCAATCAGCAGCATGTTAAGTTGTGTTTATCTTCTGCTTAGAAAATAAATATTGTGCAGAATATCATCTCTTCTGGGAGATGTCAAAAAAGAGAAAAGACTATTTCCCAGAGAAAATATTGGAATTGAGTCACATATGCATACCTGAAGATCCAAAATTCAAGGGCCAAAGTCAAGTAGAAACACTGACGAAAAGAAGCATAGACCAGACTGAGGTTGTTGCTTGAATATTAGTCCAAAAACCATTTTCAGGATTTGCTCTGCTAGAGATGAACATCTTCCAGCTGAAGTGAAAGCTTCCTGACTGCCCTACAGTTGCATCGAGGAAAGATGAAGATAGTAATTCATAAATAATGGACTCAGATGCATAGTCTTTTGGGCCTGATCTTGACACTAGGCCTCATTTCTATTGAAGCTCCAAGAAGTGAGAAATGTGCACTACAAATGCATTAGAGCCACCAGGAACAGTAGACCAAGTAAGGTGTCTAATACTGGGAAGAGATCCAACACTGAGAAGGAAGCTGGACCTGGTGCTGAGCTAAGGTGATGGGAAGTTTAATAGAAGCAGTATTAGACATCAGTGCAGTGGTGATTGGTACTAAAGCTGGGGGTCAAGTTCAACAGCACTATCAGCAAGGACAGAAATAGTTGGTGGAGCAGCCATTGCCTACATTAGGTCCATTAATGGTCTAGATAAAGTAGATATTCTAAATGCCTGTCTGCAAGGACAAAGTGAATGGTTCTGGACCCTTCAAGATGAGAAGGCCCTAAGAAATGGACCTATAGGATACTGGTAATATTCATAGTAGTGTGATAAGAATGGAAATGAATTGTAAGCCATGTAATCTGAATCAGTGGGGGACTGAAAGCACCACAATGTCAGGAACAATCTCAGTATTTAGATTAAACTGAAATGTTGAATGCCAAGATGCACAAATTTACAGAGTGTGAGTTCAAATATCAAAAGAGCTTTAAGGTGCAGATGGCCTTATTTATGAGCCTATCAGAGAGGCATCTCAGACTGTTTTTTAGAAAGACCAAGATGTTCACACTGGGTGAAAATCAGAACAGGAGAGGACCGGAGCGTCATAAGTGTGTAGCATGGCTAACTTTGAAAGTGAAATCTCTCTTCATGGAGCGATATATAATCTCTATAATAATAGAATTGAACTAGCTATGATTACCTAGACCAGGGCTCTCTGTGGTCAATATCGACTCCCAAGAGTCGATGGGACTATCCAAGGGGTCAATGTTGTTACTATTATTATTATTTGTAGTATTATTAAAGTAGTGTTTATTAAATTATTTTCATATAATAAATGTTTGGGGGTTGATGACCAATCTGAAACTTCATGAAGGGGTCAATAAGCTGAAGTATTTGGGGACCCCTGACCTAGACCTTTAGCACCAAGAATTCTACATGGCAATGAACCTTATGTCAGGTTATTACCTTATTGTCCTCACAGCATTTAACCTTTGCTTTATTAATATCCAAGGCTGCGGTAAGAATTTATTTGGTGTGGACAGTACTGGGAGCTCTTGAGAAACAGAGCAAACTGCAGTTTAAGATAGGGAACAATTGCTAGGCTCGGGAGGAAGGATCAAATTAGACTTTCAGTGCTTCAACATCTTATACTTCCTGGATACAAATAGTATAGTCAAAAGGAGTTCTATTTCACTTGAAAGTGAAGGTTACGTTAGCTACTTTTATGGCCCCTGAGGGAGGTAGAGAGGTGAGAGGACTGGTACTTATGGCTGAACAAATAGTTTTGACTGCCTGCCTGTTCTCACTGCCAGAACATTTTGAAAATAATATACTTAAGGCCATAAGCCTCAGGAAAGAAAATGAGATACAGATAAGTAATAAAAGAAATCTAGGTTACTAACAAGAATAACTCTTTTGGGGACAAAGGAAGGGAGGTGAAGAGGAGGGAGGAAGGGAAGTTAAGATCAAAACAGACAAACACTCCCCCTTCAAAAAAAAAAAAAAAAAAGAGGTGGATTACAATTTGTAGGTGAAACACCTTTCAGCAAAGCTATAGAAGGTTCCAGAATATTATGCGGATAAAAACTGTGACAAAAGAGAAAAAGAATAACTAATAATAAAGAAAAATGGCAGAAAAGCTTTTATCATTTTAACAGACCAAACAGTTGGTAATCAAAGAGAAGAATAGATGCTGCTATTAGTAACATCACTTATTTTTCTATACAATTGTTTCTTTGAAAATCCGCTATTATTTTACCATGCTGGCTTTTTATTATATTTTGTTTTCATTTTAAAATTTGCATAAAGCCTCAAGAAACTGTTTTATAAATGATCCCATACTTCTAAATAATAAATATCTACATAAACCTGAATAAATGGACACTGCTATCGATTTGTAAATGGTATTTTCTTGTCTTTTTGTGGTAAGACTGTCACTTGACTTTGGTGCCAACAGTCTGGAGACAATAAGATAACACTTAAAGATAAAGAAAACATCAGTTCTGCTAACTGGTTATTGGAAGCAACCTCAAAAGGATACAGAAAAGGAATTTAGATTTTTCTTCTGTTTGCTCACTTTGCATTTTGTAAATTGATAAACATACAATTACAATATATATTTTTGAAAGCATTCTTACTTTACAGCATTTTTTCACACCTGCCTAAACCTTTTGCACAGTACCGTATGTGTGTGTGTGTGTGTGTGTGTGTGTGTATATATAACCAACCACAACTCTATTCTGTATTCTCATATCCTAAAGCAAATTAAAGATAGGGTGAAATGGGAAAATACAGACCTCCTTAGTATAAGCTAAAAAACCCTTTAAAGAATCCAAAGTCAAAGAAGAATAACTGATGCAGAGTCACACAATGAGCATTATGGTTTAGTATAGACCTAAACTTATGTCTCCTTAGCCAACATTCAGCATTTTAATTGCTACTACATATTGGCTTTCCCATAAGATCTTATAAAATGTATAGCTATACATTTGCAATTATGTTAGTATGTTAACTATGGTTGTACATGATTTTAAAGAACAGCTGAGAAGATACTTAACAAATTGTTTATCTACTTACAGTTTTTATTAAGAAATATGAAAAAGAATCAGCAACTTTAATTCATATCTGGCTACTCATCATCTCCTGAAATGCTGCTTTAATCCAATTACTTATATATGCACGCCTTTGTATTATTCTGAGCAGAATCCAACTCAGATTTTCTGCTGACGGAACATCAGTGGATCAGGAAGAAAGAGATTATCTCATTTCATCGTTTCCTCCCCAACACACACACACACCCGCCGCCACCAAATGTATCCTGGAGATGTACATACCTTGCAAGGCATTTGGAAGAGGGATGCAGAGGAAGAAATATTATGTGAGCAGAATTCTGTTTAGTAACATGGGATTATGCCCTGCTCTCTGGTGGTTTTTAATATTCTGCTTCCATGTTCAAAGCAGTCAAATATCTAAATTGTAGGTAACTTAAGAACAACATAAATAGGAAAAGCAACTCTCTGTAATCTCAAGGTGTATCAATATACCCAAATACCTGAGTAAGAAGCTGATCATGTGTTAAATTATTGATCCACCTAGTATAGCGCTCAGTTGCTTCTGCTGGTTCTCTCTTAATTTGGCAACCTATAATCTGAAAATAGAAACAAAAAGGTATTTAAGAGGTTTGCTGAAGATTTTTTAAAAAACTCTCTTTGAACTACAGAAGATCGCATTAACATTCTGGCAAATCAGATTCATGGCATTGGTTTTTATCTTAATAAAGTCAAAATCAATATTACTTTAACAGTATCTAACTTTGTAACATCGCTATTTCTGTTACAATGATAACTGTCATGTTAGCTGGAGAAAAGGAAGGATATGTTTTCAATATATAAAAATACATAATTAAAATTGTTCTTCATACCATATACAATTAATGTCTGTTTTGTATTCTTTTCCATGATTTACAAGTTACTGCACATAATAATTTATTAGCCAATGACACAAAATCCTTTCTTTCCAAAATTAAAAACAAACTATATGGCAGATTCAGCTTAAAAATACAGTAGTAGCTGAAACAAACAAGAAATTGTTTTTTTCATATAAACATAGAATTGAAAGGGACTATTCACACCATTGCGTCCAGCTCACTCCTCAGTATAGGAAATACAAATCAGATTTCACCTATTCAACATCTGTGCACTTGATCTGGTTTCTAAGTAAATAACTTTGCTTCTGTCTTTGTTAATTTTCACTGTTATTTTCAACATTTTACTCTGTACATCAAGATAGTTTTGAATTTAATTATAGTTCTATGATATTACTATCCCACTCAATGTTGTGTCATTTGCAAATCTGATAAGCTTTTACTTCACTTCATAATCCCAGTAATAAATGCAAATGTTAAGGTGTACCAAGTCCAGGATTTAACCTTGTGGTACCCTTCTTGAAACCTCACTTGTTTCAGCCAGCTACTAGATAAGTACTTAACTGTTAACAGCCCACGTTTAATTAGTACACTTATTAAAATGTTGTGGAATATTCTGTTAAATGTATCTATTGTAGATTCTCAGAACCCAAGAAAATAGATAATGATTTGCAAAACAATACTAGCTCAGAACGCCTGCACATTCCTCCAGTATTAGTAAAACCATTAGTCAATTCTCTCGTTCTTCAAACAGTTTTTACCAAGAGAATGAAGAAGTCCCTGCCCTAACAAACTTAAAAATAAATTGGGTGCTAAAGCGAAAGTATCCAGTTGCTGAGATTTCTGTACATTAATCCCTCTTCTAACTATAAAGCACTTTGTGAAAATGTTTCCTGTTGCAAAGAGCTTGAGAAAACCCCTCTTCTGATATCAAGGTGTTACATCTACCACTTTCCACAACTGATTCAGAATGAATAATAAAATGAGGTGATTATACATACATACATATGTATGTACATGAGATAAAACTGGTTTGGCATGATGATTTTTGGTAATTACTGCATTGTTTCATCTTGTTCATCACAATTGTTGTGGGACAACAACCTCTCTTACTGGTTTGTCTTGTATGCTGCCACAACCAACAACGACTCCCAGCAGTTAACGTAATAAAAATATAAAACATATGCCAGTAATAATCATCATCATCATCATCATCATCATCTGCAATAACAACCAAAGACAACATTGACATCATGCTCCAGAAAAGTTTCATTCTAATAAATTTCCTAGAATACCATCAGGGGATGCCAGCCTAATTTCAGGAGGGAGATTGTTCCATAAAATAGGGGCAAATTCCAAAAATTATTGTTTCTAGGCCTCATCTCCTTTCTGGGCATATTTCTGAAGGATACTGACCAGACCCAGGATGTACCCAGGCATTTTGCTCTTGGTCCCCCTTCTCTTGCATCACCTCTCCCAATACTTTCCACCATACCTACATTGACCTGTCACTACCAGGATTTGTTCCCTCTATTATTGGAGAAGACTAAGCCAAGTTAGGAGTTGAGTACCTCAGTTTTTCCTTTGTTACCTGTTAGCATTCCTGTATCTTCACTGAGCAATTAACACATTGATTCTTTTTTCTTTTATTTTGAACACATCAAAAAATCCCCTTTTATACTTAAAAAGTTAGTTTAGCATGGCACAATATTCACACAATCAAATCATTAACACATTTCTATCGCAAAATTTGTAAAATAATTTGCATAACCATATGCAAACAAGAAAAAACTGGAGTTGTCCATTTGGTTAGTTGAAATGGGTTTCCCCCCCCCCCCCACCCAGCATCCTCTTCTACAATGTTTTGAATCTCACATTTAAAGCTAATGTCTTACATTTGACAGATGTTTATGAACAGATAATAGTCTACTTTCTCCCTGGTCCTCTCAACCCCTACATGACCACTGGAGGGGTTGTGAACCAAACCGTATAGCTTTCTACGACACTGGGCAGGAACAATCAAGTCTGTGTGGCTCATATTCTTTTCTATGACTCTTAATCAAACAATGGAAGCTCTCCTTCCTGAGACACCTAATAGTGCCAAGGTTTCCCCACTGTCCCCTAGATTTTACCTAGGGATGAGTCAACCTCCTGGACTTTTTGGAAGGCAGAAAAATTGGCACTGCTATACTTGATTATTATGCCCTTTACCTCCACTAGGCTGCAGAGATCTATGAGCCATGATCTTCTTCAAACAAACTGCTTCAGTCATCTCCTCTATCCTGGAGCATCTCTTAGGGAACAATCTCCAAAGTACCTTCTGGAACCTCACCTTCAACTGGTGATTCACCCTTCTTCTTTTTAGGGAGGGTAGTTTCATGAGACATTGTATCTTTCTCAACATATCTCTAACCAGCTTCTGAGGATGACAAAGAGCTGAGTTGTCTCTAATTGTAGCATATAGAATGCTTGTAAATCCATATGCCTAAGCAGTTTTTTTCTCTCTTTATGGGCTGAAGAGCATCCCAAGTATGCTGTGTCAGATCATTTCCAAACAGCACTGAAATGTGCTGGCAACCTGAAACAGCAAAGTCCCAAACTCCTTTCTAATCCTCAGTCCAGACATGAAGCTTAACTATGAGCAGCATTTTTGCTGAATTAGCCCGTTACATGTGTTAGTGGTGCACTCTTCAAGGGACAACCTGGGATGAGCGCTTTATGTAGTAGCAATTTTTTTTTCCCATTTACCACACTATCTCTATATACCACATTGGCTGTCCCTTAATATGGACTGGCCCCTCCAATCCTCTGTGACGGCTATGGCATTCAACTAGGTGGGGTGAATACTAACCTTGAAGTGGGTTCCTCTGAGCAATAACCCTGCCACTTAATTTAGGACAGTTGTTTTTCATGTACCCCATTTCCCTATATTTGAATCAACATGTAGTAGCAGATTTGTCTTCTGGCTGACCCCTACTGATGGAGTTTTAGCACTGAATTGAGTAAGGCAAAAACCACCAGTACTCTGGTCAGTCAGAATGGCTGTGTACAGACGCAGCCAAAAGTATTGGTACCTTTGAATAGCCAAAAGTCCATTGACTTGAACAGGCAGGAGAAAAAAAGTTTAGGATTTGAACCCTGGGGTTGACTAAAACTTGATTCCTGTGTTTTGAAGTAGGTAGATCTTCTATAAATATATGGCTTCCTTCTTGTCTGTAGTAAAGCAACTTAATTAGCCATGTCATATCTGTGAAGCTTCTGCTACTAGCTACTTACTGAATGCAGGATTGAACTTCTAAACAGCAGAGATTTATTGCCATATCTGTGTGAAATATGAGAGGAATCAGGCCACTTGTTTTAGCTAGGCCGTGCATTTGCCCCTGGGCTTACTACATCTAGTTGGTATTCTTCGTAGTGTGTCAACATACTCTTGCACATCTGGGGTGGCTATCCCCAAAAATTTGTCTTGGGTAGTCCTGGAGTCTTTGCAACTTCTTTACCAGTCCATCTGGTTCCAAACTAGTCTCAGGAGCTTGACTGAACACAAGTTTGTGTTTAGCCTCTGGCAGCTACTGTAGGTACTTTTACTAGTATCAAATTCCACACGATCTTCAATTTTGTTTTAAATTTTATCTCTCAACACACTTTACATGCATACCACATCTAGGAAACAAAATCCAGAATATTTCACAAGATTTTTTTCCAAATGCTTGTCAAACATTTTTTGGAGTAAAGTCAGCCTGGTATTCACCCTGTCTCAAAACAGCTTATAGTCCTCCATGTCCTGTGCCTAATTTATGCTGTTACAGCAATGCTCCTTTAAGGTTAGGCTAGAAACAGCACACTAGATAGTCATAGTAAATTTGTTAGTTGATACCTACTCAAGATTTGTCAGAAGGAATTAGCATCAATCCATCTCTGTAATCACCAAGTTTCTATGGGAGCTGGCATTGATTTGGGATGTTTGGATTTGATGGTCATCTCAGCTTTGTGGGTAAATAGGATTTTCCTCCTCAGTTAGTACTAGGGTTACAAATTACAGACCACCAAATCTAATGAACTTACATTATTTGCACTGCCATATAAGTACTCTGATACCTGAGCATATCAGTTGGTATTAATCCAATCAACTATTAAGTAGAAATGCTGAGACACTGAAGGAAGGTGGGAGGGCTCGCTGGACAAGAACTGACATATATTAAATATTTATAGCAAGGACTGCTTGCTCATATTCCATCAGAATAAGGCCTCCATGTTATCTTAATAGTTTAGAGAAGGATTATTTTAAAGCATAGACCATTCTAAACTAATTGCAGATGAGATGTTTTCATTTAAGAATGAGATACTGCTCATACTTAGAAGTAAGTCTTTTTTCTTTTACTTTTTCTCTTATTTCATGAGTTTTACAAAATAAATTTGAACATGAGAATTATACATGGGGAAATTCAGAGAAGTAGGTGAAAACAAATACGAAGTACTGGGCAAACACAATTCTGCTGATCTGAAAGGCATTTCTTTAGAAAAAGATAAGAAAGCTTAGCTTCTGTACACAAAGCAGACTGACCCGGCCAAAGCTACACAAATACAAATTAATGAACAGCTGCCAGGAGGTGACAGATTAGTCTTAGTTCTGGCTTTTTAAAAGCCAGATTTCCAATTAGAGTAGAATGCATAAGCTAGTCCACTCCAAACTGTGAAAGACATTAATGAAAAGCAACCAGGTT